CAATTACAAGATAAATACTTTTTTAAAAACCATTTTACTAATATTAAAACACAAGTGTTTTGAACTCTTTATAGCAACAAGATGACTTATTTTCTGGTTTGAATTGTTTTGTGTCGGGACCTTTTAGAGCTTACTATTCGGTATGGATTTTTTCATTGTCGAGGGCTGTATGGTGATATATAGTTGCTTTCATCTGTCTTTTGGGTCTGGTGGATAGTTGTCTCGTTTACAATCATACCACATCTTTTTATTTTAAATTTGTTAATCAAATAAACGAATATTAATATCTTAAACTTAAATAATCTAGCTCAAGCATACACCATGAGAGAGAGATGTGTACTATTAGTTGATTTATTATTGTGTTGCTAAATATCATCTAGTCAATTTGATGTAGCCCCCTGTCACGTATGATATCGTTAATTATCGCGGGATTTAAACTCAAACGCGCATAGGATTTCGAGATCAGCGTTGATAAGTCGCTTATGTGAAACTGGTCTATTAAATATTTCTTGCTATTGCGCAATACTGTACAATTGACAATTTCTTGCTATTGCACAATATTGTGCTATTGGATATTTCTTGCTATTGCGCAATACTGTGCAATTGAAGATTTCTTGCTATTGCGCAATACTGTGCAATTGAAGATTTCTTGCTATTGTGCAATACTGTGCAATTGAAAATTTCTTGCGTTTGCACAATACTTATTATATAATAATTTACACATCCTGTTTGGTGTGTATCTCCTACCATACCATTATTATTTGCTTTTAAATATAAATCAGAAATAACCAACTTAAAATGGAAAATTTTAAAAGAAAAAAAAAAGGAAAAAAAGAAAAAAAAGGAAAAATAAACCCCCCCCCCCCGCGGAATTTTTTTAACCCCCTTATGATTCATCACCCCCAAACTCAATCCCAGCCTTCCCTTTGTGGTATGGTACCTTGCAGTACAATTTCAGAAAGATCCATACACTTGAACACAAGTTATTGTCTGGAAACTAGAAAAATGTGTTTTTTGGCCCCTTTTTGGCCCCCAATTCCTAAACGTTTCGGCAAGTACCCCCAAACTCAATTCCAGCTTTCCCTTTGTGATATGGAACCTTGTAGTACAATTTCAGAAAGATCCATATACTTACACACAAGTTATTGTCATGAAACTAGAAAAATGCTTGTTTTTGCCCCTTTTTTTGGCCCCCAATTCCTAAAATTTTGAGGCAATTACCCCCAAAATCAATCCCAGCATTCCTTTTGTGATATGGAACCTTGTGGTACAATGTCAGAGAGATCCATACACTAACACACAAGTTATGTCTGGAAGTTACAACAAGAGTGCACACGCTGAAATGTCTCGCCTTCTTTACTAATCATTGATATTATGTTGATAGTCCTAAATATAAAGCTTTATTACAACTGTCACATAAACTTAACATTAACCAAGTAAACTAAACATTGACCAATGAACCATGAAAATGAGGTCAAGGTCAGATGAACCATGCTAGGCAGGCATGTACAGCTAACAATTCTTCCATACAACAAATATAGTTGACCTATTGCTTATAGTTTAAGAAAAACAGACGAAAACACAAAAACTTAACACTGAGCAATGAACCTTGAAAATTGGGTCAAGGTCAAATAAAACCTGCGTGACTGACATATAGATCATAAAATATTTCTATACACCAAATATAGTTGAACTATTGCATATAGTATTAGAAAAAAAGACCAAAACTCAAAAACTTAACTTTGACCACTGAACCATGAAAATGAGGTCAAGGTAAGATGACACCTGCCAGCTAGACATGTACACCTTACAATCATTCCATACACCAAATATAGCTGACCTATTGCATGCAGTATTAGAAAGAAAGACCAAAACTCAAAAACTTAACTTTGACCACTGAACCATGAAAATGAGGTCAAGGTCAGATGACACCTGCCAGCTAGACATGTACACCTTACAATCATTCCATACACCAAATATAGTAGACCTATTGCATACAGTATAAGAAAAACAGACCAAAACACAAAAACTTAACTATAACCACTGAACCATGAAAATGAGGTCAAGGTCAGATGACACCTGCCAGTTGGACATGTACACCTTACAGTCCTTCCATACACCGAATATACTAGACCTATTGCTTATAGTATCTGAGATATGGACTTGACCACGAAAACTTAACCTTGTTCACTGATCCATGAAATGAGGTCGAGGTCAAGTGAAAACTGTCTGACGGGCATGAGGACCTTGCAAGGTACGCACATACCAAATATAGTTATCCTATTACTTATAATAAGAGAGAATTAAACATTACAAAAAATCTGAACTTTTTTTTCAAGTAGTCACTGAACCATGAAAATGAGGTCAAGGACATTGGACATGTGACTGACGGAAACTTCGTAACATGAGGCATCCATATACAAAGTATGAAGCATCCAGGTCTTCCATCTTCTAAAATATAAAGCTTTTAAGAAGTTAGCTAACGCCGCCGCCGCCGCCGTAGCCGCCGGATCGCTATCCCTATGTCGAGCTTTCTGCGACAAAAGTCGCAGGCTCGACAAAAATGCTTATTTTTGGCCCCTTTTTGGCCCCTAATTCCTTTACTGTTAGTACCATGACCCCCAAAATCAATCCCAACCTTCCTTTTGTGGTATTGAACCTTGTGGTAAAATTTCATAGAGATCCATTCACTTAAACTAAAGTTAGAGTGCGAAAACCAATGTGTCTTCGGACGACGATGACGACGACGACGTCAACGTCATACCAATATACGACCACAAAAATTTTTTTGCGGTCGTATAAAAATTCAGCAATTTTTCTATTTGTAAACACGCATAACTCTAGAACAGTTGTGTATAAGTTTTATAACATTTGGTTGAAACAAACTAAAGTTAGAGAACAGAAACAAAAAATTCAGCAATTTTTATGTTTATAAAGGGACATAACTCAAGAATGGTAAAAGTGTTGCCACCAAATTTCGTACTTAATCTGTATTATGTAGTAATAAGCATTGTGTATAAGTTTCATATGATTTGGTTGAGGCAAACTAAAGTTAGAAAACAGAAACACAAAAATTGTACTTGATCTTAGTTTTGTGGTAATGAATATTGTGTATAGGTTTCATAATGTTTGGTTGGGGCAAACTTAAGTTACAGAATGGAAACTAAAGATTTTGCAATCTTACAATTTATAAAGGGGCACAACTCAATAATGGTTAAAGTGACACTATCCAAATTCAACTTGATCTGTGTTTTATCAGTGGAAGTCAAAATTAAATATTGCATTGTATAAAGCATTGACTGTAGTTGATTCAACTATAATCATGGACAAAGTAAGATAACTCCAATTTTAATAAATTGCTTTGCTGAACGCAGCTGGATACGACCGCAGATGTCCAACCCTGAAAAGTAAGGACCAAAATGGACACAATATTCACGCTTGATACAGGTCTGAATTTGGATTGTAATTAAATTTTTGACACATAATTGGTTTCTGACACAGAATATACTGTAGTCAAAGAACTTCAAATTGGTTATATGATAATGATTTGAATTTATCTTCAATTTTTTGCTATTGTGCAATACACTATGCGAATTGACCCCCCCCCCAAAAAAAAAATTTGAAGAAATTTTCTTTTAATTTCTGAAATCTGAAATGAGAAAAATTGTCCCCCTCCAATTTTTTTCACCTCCCCCCTTTCCCTTATTCAAAAAAATAATTCTTTCCCTCAAGTTATGGTCTGTATCTCAGACAATCATCATTTCTTAATACATAATTTACAAGCAGTGTAAGAGAGGTAATCAACCATTGTTATTTAAATTGATTTGGATTTTGATTTGGATTACCTCCCTTACACTGCTTTTAAATTGTCTCAATTGTCCTTTAACAAGAAAAACCCTTGTTTTTCCCCTTTTTTTGCCCCTAATTCCTAAATGGTTTGTGCTATAACCCCCCAAAGTCAATCCTAACCATCCCTTTGTAGTATGGAAACTTGTGGTATAATTTCAGAGAGATTCATACACTTTAACACTAGTTACTGTCTGGAAACTACAAAAATGTTTATTTGGGCCCCTTTTTTGGCCCTTTATTCCTAAACAGTTGGGACCATAACCCCCAAAATCAATCCCAACCTTCCTTTAGTGGTTATAAACCTTGTGTTAAAATTTTATTGATTTTTATTTACTTATACTAAAGTTATTATCTGGAAACCATCTGTTTTTCGGACGACGCTGATGACAATGACAACGACGACAATGTGATACAAAATATCCGACCAAAAAAATTTTAATTTTTGCGGTCGTATAAAAAGTACTAGATACTTAGAAGAAAATAAAAATTTTGCAATTTTTCCATTTATAAAGGGACATAACTCTAGAACAGTTAAAATGACGCATCCAAAATTCAAACATGATCTGTGTTTTGTGGTAATAAGCATTGTGTATAAGTTTCATAACATTTGTTTGAGGCAAACTCAAGTTAAAGAACGGAAACCAATTTTGGGACGTACGGATGTACGGACAGACAAACAAGGGTAAGACTTAATGCCCCCACAGATACAGCGGGGGCATAAAAAACCACAAAGTTAAAAGAGAAAATAATATTGCAGGTTAAAAAAAATAAATGGGGAAAATGTCCATGGACACAGATGATGCTCGCTTGCATATTATATAAAGTTATAAAAGGACATAACTGAAGAACAGTAAAAGTGACGCTACCCAAATTTGTACTTGATTTGAGTTTTGTGTTCACAAGTATTGTGTATAAGTTTCATAAAATTTGGGGGAGGCAAACTTAAGTTAGAGAACAGAAACGAAGAATTCAGCAATTTTGCCATTTGTAAAGGAGCATAACTCTAGAACAATAAAAGTGACACCACCACAAATATATTTTCCTGTATATTGTATTATTAACCTCTCTCTGTTTCCAATGATTGACAAACTATCTGCTTAAAAACAAACCAAGACAAGATAAGTCTTAGATATTAGAAGAAGAAAAAATACCTGGTTGTTGGAAATATCCTTTCTTCCTTTCCTTTTCAAAACTGTAGAAAACCTTGAAAATATAAATGTTTTTTTTCAAACAAAGAATATCATTGCAAAAGAAATGAGACTTTTCCACAGAATTATTTCCTCTTGGTCAAGGAATTTTAAACTTTATCAGTTCACTTGAATACGATAGCTATTGTTCTCTGTGTAGTTTATTCCTTTGGAATGTTTTCTAAAAAAATCCATCACTCATTGATTAATTCAATTTAAAAAATAGAAGATGAAAATACATGTATCATTTTGGAAAATGACATCATTCTGTAACAAAAATAAACTTTTAGTTACCTCTTTACATGCAGCATCGAACAAGTGAAATTGTGAGCATACCCCTCCCAAATATTTCGCTAAACAGGAAGTTGTTAAGTGATGAATCTGAAAATGCATCACACGGTATAGCTGACTTATATAAACCCTGAAACCAAATTTTAGAAATCCTTGTATTGTAGTTCCTGAGAAAAATGTGACGAAAATTTTCAACTTGGCTATCATGTGTAAAATGATACAAGTGTTCTGTAAACAGGAAGTTGCTGAGTGATGAATCTGAAAACGCATCACACAGTATAGCTTACTTATATAAACCCTGGACCCAAATTTCAGAAATCCTTGCATTAGAGTTCCTGAGAAAAAATTGACGAAAATTTTCAACTTGGCTATCATGTGTAAAAACCCTTAATTTCAGCAGAGCAGAACCTAACATAAATCAATCTGTTACACATCATGGTTAACTTTCATACCAAAATTCTGCCCAATATCTGAAAAGTCCAAAACCTGTAATTTCAGCAAAAATCAGCAGAGCGGAAAGAAACTTAAACTCCATTTGTAACACATCATGGTTACATCACATATACCAACAATCAGCCCAATATCTGAAGGTGTTTAGAAAAAAAGTCCAGATAAATGTGATTTTCAACAATTTTTCAAAGTCCAAATTCTGCAATGTCAACAAAAGTTAGCAGAGCGGAACAAAACTTTAACTTGATCTGTAACTCATCATGGTTAACTCACATTCCAAATTCAGCCCAATATCTGAAGGCGTTTAGAAAAAAATTGCATATAATGGTTTGTTGCAGAATGATGCATTACAGAATGACGGACAAGGGTAAAACTATATGGCACCACAACTTTGTTGCGGGCCATAAAAAAAACCACACAACATTCAAACTTGTCCTGAATTTAAGAAAATCTACCTCTACTGATCTTGGATCTTTAAGGTATACAACAATGAACATTGTCTGTACTGAAGTTCCCATTCTTTGTCTTCCAAAGTCTTCTGCAACTTGAAACATGGTGTCAGCAACAGCATAATGTGGATATTTTAATTTACCAGTTCCTAAAGCTGGAAAGGCTATGCTTTTAAATCCTTGACTATCTGCTACCAAAAGGCACTGCCACACAAACTGCTTCAAAATCTGCAAAATTTTTAATCCAAACACTATATAAACTACAGGTACTATGAGCAAAGCTCTCAAAACAATACCCTTGTCCCTTACAAAGCCAATACTTTGGTGAGGAAAACCCCACATCAAATGAGATCCCCCAAAAAATAGGATGTAAAAGCTGTCATTTTATGTTGAAGATTCAGAGAAAATTTTAGGGGTTTAGGAAAAAAGATGGATTTAGTTTGCACACTATTTGTGAAGAAACATGCCACAAACATTCTTATAAAAAAGAAAATAGGAGGTGCAGAATGGCACTATATCAGGTTAAGAATGCGAGAAAGTTTCAATAAATGATAATAAACTAAGGGGTTTAGGAAGAGTTACAAAATGGGAACCCCAAAATAATGCAGAGAGAAAGTCAAATCTTTGGTAAGATAAACCCTAACAAGAGGCTGTCAGATTGACAGCAAACTGGATTTTCCTGTATGAAAATAATATTTACAAATTTGCACCCCCAAACAGGATCAAGTTAAAAAAAAAATGAATTTTTGTATGGTTCAGAAATGGAAAGGCCAAAGTGAATTGAAGTATCACTTTTTGCTACTTAAAGGTCCACAACTCAAGAAGCTAGGACAAAAGCTAATATCCTGAAATTCAAACTTGACCTTCATGTAGTCACAGGAAACAACATATCTAAATTTGAAAATATGTCCTCAAAGCGTTTTCAAGTTATTACACATAGACTGCTGGGAGCCAGCCCCCCCCCCCCACATTATACAAATTATTTTTTTGAAACATTAAGTCAAATGACTACTAAAAGCAAACTTTGAAATTTCTTATGAAACAATTTTTCATCTAGATTTAAGGTTCATCAGAAGGGATTGACAAATATGGCCATTTTTTTTTTATTTCCTCTTGAGTACAGACAAACCTGTGCACAAGGAAAAGTTTTAAGGCATTGCAGAAACTGGATAAATATTTGTCAATTCCTTGAGATGAACCTGAAAGACCCCCCCACCCCCCCAAAAAAAAAAAAAAAAAACTAAAATCATCTTCAATCTTTGATCAAAATATTGTAAAAAGTCATATTTTCATATTATCTATTTATCTATTTATGTTGCTATGCTAAAATATTTTTTACTTATCTCAATACTTATCTTATTTCATATGTATCAAAAATCAGTAAATGTGATTCTGTTGTGCAAACAAAATTTCAAAAGTTCTTCAATCTGTACATATTCAGCCAATTAATCTTTATGAAGGGATTGGAGTGAACTGTATTCTATGTTAAACATTCATGCATGAGTGACCTTATTTTAACATTTTCACACCTTCCAATGTTTTTGTTAATCACGGTTTAGTAATGATCCCTTAAAAGTTTTTATTATTTATTATCATTATTAATGTTATTTAAAGATTTTTATAAAATAATCTATTTCAATGTAAGTAATCAGCAGTTAAATAATAAAATACATTCCATACACCAAATATAGTTGACCTATTACTTATAGCATCTGAGAAGAAGACCAAACAACAGAAACTTAACATTGACCAATGAACCATGAAAATAAGCTCAAGGTCAGATGAAACCTGTCAGACAGACGTGCACACCTTACAATCATTCCATACACCACATATAGTTGACCTATAACTTATAGTATCTGAGAAGAGGACCAAACAAGAGCAACTTAACATTGACCAATGAACCATGAAAATGAGGTCAAGGACAAATGACACCTGCCAGACAGACATGTACACCTTACAATCATTCCATACACCAAATATAGTTGACCTATTGCTTATAGTATTAGAAAAACAGACCAAAACACAAAAACTTAACATTGACCAATGAACCATGAAAATGAGGTCAAGGACAAATGACACCTGCCAGTCAGACATGTACACCTTACAATCATTCCATACACCAAATATAGTTGACCTATTGCTTATAGTATTAGAAAAACAGACCAAAACTCAAAAACTTAACATTGACCAATGAACCATGAAAATAGGTCAAGGACAAATGACACCTGCCAGACAGACATGTACACCTTACAATCATTCCATACACCAAATATAGTTGACCAATGGCTTATAGTATTAGAAAAACAGACCAAAACACAAAAACTTAACATTGACCAATGAACCGTGAAAATGAGGTCAAGGTCAGATGAAACCTGCCAGACTGACATGTATCCCTTATAATCATTCCATACACCACATATAGCTGACCTACTGCTTGTAGTATCTGAGAAACAGACCTAATCACGTAACTTTAACCTTGATCACTGATCCATGAAATGAGGCTGAGGTCAGGTGAACCCTGTCTGATGAACATGTAGACGTTGCAAGGAACCCATATACCAAATATAGTTATCCTATTACTCATAATAAGTGAGAAATTTACATAACAAAAAAACTAAACTTTTTTTTCAAGCAGTCGCTGAACCATGAAAATAAGGTCAAGGACATTGGACATATGACAGACGGAAAGTTCGTAACATAAGGTATCTGCATACAAAGGTATGTCATCAATACCACCCCTTTGGGGAAAAGCAGTCTGGATAACACTGAAGATCTGTGCTCCATTTATTGGTAGATATAATGTTTGTAATGAATTTTGGTAGGATGGATGAAAACTAAGGTTAATAAAATGCTCCACAGGGCGCAGAGGTCGAACCCTGAACAGTTGGGGCAAGTATGGACACAACATTCAAGCTTGATACAGCTTTGCATTTGGATTGTGATTAAATATTTGACACAGCATAGGTTTCTGACACAGAATGAATGTGGTCTAAGAACTTAAAAATTTTAAATTGGACATTCACCTATTATGGTCCAATATCCAAAATCTAAATACATGGTTAGATTCAGCATATCAAAGAACCCCAAGAATTCAATTTTTGATGAAATCAAACAAAGTTTAATTTTGGACCCTTTTGACCTCAATGTGGACAAAGTTGATGACAGGGCCCAAAAATCAAAAATCTAAATACATGGTTAGATTCAGCATATCAAAGAACCCCATATATTCAATTTTTGTTGAAATCAAACAAAGTTTAATTTTGGACCCCGATTTGGACCAACTTGAAAACTGGGCCCATAATCAAAAATCTAAATACATGTTTAGATTTAGCATATCAAAGAACCCTAAGAATTCAATTTTTGTTAAAATCAAACTAAGTTTAATTTTGGACCCTTTGGACCTTAATGTAGACCAATTTGAAAATGGAACCAAAAATTAAGAATCTAAATACACGGTTAGATTCAGCATATCAAAGAACCCCAATAATTCAATTTTTGATGAAATCAAACAAAGTTTAATTTTGGACCCTTTGGACCTCAATGTGGACCAATTTAAAAACGGGGCCCAAAATCCAAAAACTAAATACACGGTTAGATTCAGCATATTAAAGAACCCCAAGAATTCAAGAATAAAACCCCATTGAAATTGGTCAAGAAATAAGCAATTTATACGAAGTATCTTCTTTTGCACAATACTGTGCAATTAAATATTTCTTGCTATTGCGCAATACTGTACAATTGACAATTTCTTGCTATTGTGCAATATTGTGCTATTGGATATTTCTTGCTATTGCGCAATACTGTGCAATTGAAGATT